AACTTACTTTTTTTTTTTTTTTTTTTGAAGAAGTTTTTTGCTATAGGGCACATGTACTCACCAGAGAGAAGAAAGCGAGAAATCACCCCCAGGGAGGGATGGCCACACCACAATCCCTTCTCCTCCATTCTCCTCTTGGGATCTTAGGCACGCATGCACATGCGCCCAGAGTGAGTTTAAGCCACCGGGTTTAGGACTCAAACTGCAATCAACTACATGGGAGTCCAGTGACATAGCCATTACGCCATCTGCTGGTCCCTAAACCTACCATTTTTATGGTGCTATGCAAGGATAGGGCAAACTATGAAGTATTACTTTGTCTGAAAGGTGAAAAAAAAAACTTTGAGTAAACTGATTACACCCAAGCCTTTGTTTCAACTTTTTTTCCATTGCATTTTATACTCAGTGACCTACCAGGACACTCTTCGTTCATGCATGGTATTAATTGTGTTCCTCTCATGTGTCACCTCCTTGGAATACATAGGTAAATAGTGTATGTTTCTTGCCTGTTAAAAAACCTCCCAGAGCACATGAAGTGGGGTTTGGATGCATTCAGCTGCTCTCCCCCCTCCCCAACCCCTTCTTTGACCTCTCTACGGTGGGGCCCCATCAGAGGGCTGCACTTGGAATCTTCAGTTCCCCTCTCAGCCCACAGCCACCTTCAGGTTCTTGCCCTGCCCCAGCCACGCCAGAGTCAAGGTCACCCCTTAGCTGCTGTCTCAAGCTTTACTTGCCTGAAGAACTCTCCCACATGCATTTCCCTGTTACCAGCTGCCTCCTGGAAGGTTGCTCAGCTCTCACCTTCCTGCTTTCAGACCCTCCTGTTTCCCTTGGGTACCTGTGAACTTGCTCTGACTATTCTGTGCTGTAGTTGTTTTTCCACCTGCATCTTTCATGTCATTGTTTCTGAGATTTTGTTTTTTAAGCATCTTTTCTTTTCTTTTTAAGAGAAATTTTTGCTATAGGGCATGTGCACCCACCAGAGAGACAGAAAGATAGAAAACAGGGATGGCCACGCCACAGTTCCTTCTCCCCCATTCTCCTCTCAGGATCTTGGGCACACACGCACATGTGCCCGGCATGAGTTTTAAGCCGCTGGGTCCGAGACTCTAACCTCAGTCGACTATGTGGGAGTCCAGCAACATAACCATTATGCCATCTGCTGGTCCCAAGCATCTTTCCTTATGCTACTGGTTTGCCTGGATCGCTCCACCCCTGTGGCTTCACTTCCACCTGTCTATGGCAGGTGCTCCCAGCTTCAGCTCCTTCGTGTATCCCCTTCCTTGGCATCTCCCCCTCTGACAGCTTTATCTGGGTACCCCGAGGCACTTTACCCTCATCATGTCCAAAGTAAATTGTATTTACCCTCAAACCAACTTTTCTTTTCATCTATTTTTCCTAGGCTAGCAACCTGAGGACTTTCACTGACTAAACATTAATTAGATCCAATTTTTTTCCATAATAATCGAGAGTTGATTGTGAGAAAACATTGCTTTTGTAAAACAGATGGAAAAGTACTCAGCCCATCTATATTTTGGGTTGATTTTGCTCATAACTAAAACTGTATTCTCATATATTGAAATCATTCCAAGTTGTTTTTTCCCCTGCCAAACAGAGCCTCCAAGTGTACACATCATTGGAAACCTGCCTTTCAGTGTTTCAACTCCACTGATTATCAAGTGGCTTGAGAACATTTCATGTCGAAACGGACCTTTTACGTACGGCAGAACTCAGATGACTTTGACTTTTCAAAAGGAAGTGGCAGAAGTAAGTTTTCACTTTTTCTGGCTATTTAACACATGATTAAACTCCAAAACCAGATAATACTACATTTTTACCACAGACTGTTTTCTAGGTTAATAACACTTTGTTACGCAGGAAACTCAACAGTTCAGGCAGAGTGTAACATACAGTGATGACAGACATAATGGCCCTGAGCTCCCGGGGAATGTGAATGATGTGGTGTCTGCCAGGCAGACGGTGAGTACCGGGAGGACCGCCGCAGACACAGAGAAAGACGGAAGCTACGGCATTGGCTGCACATTTATGCAGAGGGATGGGTTTGTGGTGTGTTCACGTTGACCCATTACCTTAGTAGAGTGATGGTTTGAAAATGTGGTAACCCTGAACTTGAAGCTCCGAGAGAAAGGGCGCGGGGCGTCATTTGGCTTTTAAGCACTGGCTCAGCACCCCACTCCGCAGTGCTTGCTGTGCCGGCACGCCCATGGCAGGTACATTTCAAGTTCACTCTCTAAAAAGTAAACCCCCAGGTGGGCAAGGAGGTTTAGGAGCTGTAGAAGTTTAAAGAGGCGGTCTGCAGACTGTATGTGGCTTTCACAAGTTTAATTATGACATAAACATAAAAGGCTAGATGGCACATACATGTGGCTTGATGAAAAGAATGCCTGGATCCGCACGCCCAAGCTAATGACTGAATTGCCAGAGCCCTTGGCTCCCTGTTGTATGCCTCATTCTGATCGCATCCCCTCTCCACCCCATCCTAACCACTTGTGTGAATTTGGACTTTATTACTCCCTTGCATGGTCTTACATAGACTTACAGCCACACGATGAATACATACTTTAGTCTTGCCCATTTTTGAAATCTGTACAAAATTATTTATATATTACACACTTTTTTTATCTTGAACATCATTTGTGGGATTTGCTGATAGGTGTGATTTGTTTATTTATGTAGCTCTGTAGCAAACCTACTCTCTGACCGTGTTGTGATTTACCTCTCCATCCTCCTGGGTATGGGTTTGTTTTTTGATGAGAATGGACGCGTTGTGTGTGCATGAGAGAGACGGAGTTGGAGAAACACCCCTGCCAGGGGCTCATCACACTGTGATTCACTTTCCCCAGCCCTCCAACATCTCAGGATCCTAGCAGTCATGTCCACATCCAGGGTATTTTCTGGCCAGACCTGAAGTCCAGCTTTGCAGGGGACTGCATGACCACTGCAGCACAGCAGCCAGGTCCATTCTCCTGTTCAGGAGTTTGAATTCAGTTCAGTGTTTTGTTATTACAAATAAAACTGCCGTTTTATTAATGTCAGCTGGGCATATGGGCCGGATCTCTCTAGGGTGTATACCAGATGCAGAGTTCAGGTCTTCCTCCTTGCTGGGTAATACTAACCTGTTCTCGGAAGCCATTATGTCCTACGTTCCCACCAGCAGTGTGCAAGGGTTCATTTTGCTCCATATTCTTGTCACTGCTCACTATTCCCAGGCTTGTACATTGTTATGGGAGGTAATGGAATGTCATCACATTTTATTTTGTCTTTGCTGATTTTTAATGGAATTTACACCATTTTACATGTTTTGAGTTACTTGTTTCTTTGTGAAGTATTTGCTTTTTGCTTATCTTTTTATTGGCTTATTTGTCTTTATCGATTTGAAGGAATTCTTAAGTGTTCTTCATTCCAGTCCTTTATTAGTTAAAGGCATTGCAAATTATTCTGTTCCACTGCGTGTTACTGACTAGTGTCTTTTGAAGAGCAGGCATTTTGATTTTAAAGTTATAATTGGCACTTTTTGTGTCTTGTTGAAGAAATCTTCCCTATTTTGAGATTGTGAATTTTTTCTATTACCTTCTAGGTTTATGTTTTACCCTTTATATTTATATCTGTAATGCATTTGGTATTGATTTCTGTTTGTGGTTTAAGTATAAGCCAGTTTTACTATTTTTGACATGAATCTCATTAACCTGCCCCATTTATTGACAAGTCTACTGTGTTAGTCTGCTTTCTGCATTATATATAAATGACTACACTGAGTAATCTACTGGGTTGTCAGAAAAGTCGTGACGCATTTTTGCATAGGAGAACACAGAAGAATACATCATTCCTGACGACCACTATAAAAACTAGAGGCTTGTTCGGCTCACAGTTTGGAGGCCCAAGGTCAAGGGCTGCAGGTGGTCCCCTTGTTGGTGGGAACTCAGCAGAGTCCTGAGTTGGCACAGGGCGTCACATGGCAAGAGCTTGCTCATACGTCTCATTCCCTCTCCTTTTTACTTAATTTGTTGATTGCTTCAGGAAACATGCATGCACCAGAGAGACAGAGAACACTTCCCAACAGGGGGAGCTCATGCCACAATCCTTTTTTCTCCATTCCAATAGGATCTGCGGGATACACGCACTTGCACACGCACCTGGTGTGTTTCTCAAGTTGCTGGACCAGGACTCAAACCACAGTCAGCCATGTGGGATCCCAGCCCCTCTGCAGAGGGCTTAGTGCTGCAGTACAGAGCGGCCCCTCCCTCCCCTTAGAAGCCCACCAGGATTCATTCATGGGTGCTGCACCCCAAAGAGTTTAATCCTGAGTAGCTCCCAGAGACCCACCTCTAAATCCCATAGTCAGACATCCAAAATTTCAACACATGCATTTTTAGAGGACGCCTTCCAACCCTAGCTTTTGGGCTGGCTCTGTACCACAGTGGGTTAAACATCGTGCCCCTGGAGCCATACTCCGTATGAACAACTACAGGTCAGACCCCATCCCAACAGCTTGAAAACCATGCCAGGCACATGTGCATACATGCCCAGGATCTTGACAAGATAGAGAAATGGAGAAAAAGGGTTGTGGCGCCATGATGCCCAATGGGGGTGCTCTTTATGCATGCTCTCTCGCTCACTCTCTGCCTCTCTGTACCCCCTGGCAGTTCAAAAGTAAATAAATAAAAACTCATAGCATCTGCCCTTCACTGATCTCAGTCAGCTCCTCTGCCATAATGGAAAAAACCCACTTAGCTTAGTCTGATTTGAGACACCAAGAAGATGAAGTAAAATCTGAGAAGCAAAGGGCCCATCGTGTGACGGAGAGAATAGAACCCTCTGGAAGAATATCCAGTCTAGATCAGAGCTGATCGAGAAGGTGAACTTGATAAATACATAGCCTGTTTGCATATGTTGAAAAAATAGTTAAACAGATTTGGGAACGTTAAGTATTAGCTTAGTGGTAAATAAATAGAAAACTAAATACAGCAGGGGATAAAGAAAATGAAAGATACTATTATTGGAATAGCAAGTAAACTATTTTATTTGGATTTACATAATTTTTTATTTGGAAAACTTAAGAGAAAGGCCCAGCCACAGTGGCACACAGACTGCACCATTGCTCGGTAGGCTGGGAGGCCCAGCAGAGGCCCAGGTTCAGTTCCCAGGCCACACTGACATGCCAAACCTACCTGTATACAGCTCTAATCCTTGCTAACGGGGAGGCTGAGGCAGGAAGGTCTTAACCCAGCAAGATCCTGTCCAAAAATACCTGTCCCCCCGCCCTGTTGATGTGCCTCACTCTACCTTAAAGGAAAAGCAGAAAGAAAGCGAGAGAGACACACCTATATAAAAGTAACCGCAAAACTTTATTGACCATCTCAGAGACTCATTGAGATAAATCAAGCATGTCCATGCTCCTAAAGATAAACTGATTATAGAGGACCAGTAGGTGGCACGGTGGGTAGGGCTGGGCACCCCCACATGACCAGCCACAGTTTGAGTCCTGGACCTCATGGCTTGCTTTCTCACTTTCCCTCTCCGTCTCTCTCTGTGTCTCTCTCTGGTCAAATTAAAATAAAATGAATGAGTGAATTAGGGGGGGAAAAAAAAAAGTGACTGTAAAGATGCTATTTTTTTCTAAATAACTCTAATAAATATATTCTAAATCTCAAAGAATTTCTTTTAGAACTCAGTTAAGTTTCAGGTATCATCTTGAGGAATAGACCTTCAAGAGTACATAAGAAATATTGAGAAAGGAAGCTGGTGAGAGAAGACTTGCCTATGAAATGTTAAAGTGTGTGATAAAGCTTTAATAATTGAAGTGGTATGGCACAGCACAAGACCGACGGCTGGCTGCATAGACAACCCGGACTCAGACAGCGTGGTATAAGGCAGTGCTCAGATCATCAATCAGCAATGGAGAAGAGAATCGTTTTACAAATATATAAAATGCATAGAGATTTGATTAACTATTATAAAAAAACATTTAGTGATTCACCATACATAAAAAATCAATTAAATTACTCTCAGTTCAAATCATCACTCTTGTTCAGCAGTGTCTAATTTACCATTCCATTGAGTATACTTTTCCTTTAAAATACTGTATTTTTTATCTCTGGAAGTTTCATTTTCTCTTTTTTCCTCATTATGTTCATGCTATTCTTGGCACTTGGGTCATATATAATATTTATAATAGCTGCTTTAAGAGCTTCATCCACTCAGTTCATTACCTCTGTCATTTCTGTAACTGTCTAACTGATGGGTTACTTTCCTTCTTACTGTGGGTCCCATTTTCCTGCTTCTTTACAAGCAAGCCTGCTGATTTTTGGCAAGATGCCGAACATTGTGAGAGTATTTTTGTTTGCTTATTTTTCTTAGTGGGGTTGAGGGCTATATTTTATGTTACTGAATTGAGTGTTGGGTTTTGTTCCGGCACTTGGGTAATTTACTTGCAGATTGTTTGAGGCTTACTTTCAAGGTTTGTGCTGAAGGATCCCCAGTATCTTTTAATTTTAAGCTACTAAGTCACTCGCTGGGGCATACACAAGCTGCAATCTCTTCATTTCTCCTCCCGTCGGATTTTGGGCATGCATATGTGCCCAGTGTGTTTTTCAAGCCACCAGAGCCAAGATTTGAACCATGGTCAACCATCTGGGGTCTAATTCCCTTAACCATCAGGCTAGAGGGTTGGCTCTGCTCTGTGTTATTTTGAGGACATTCTACTTTAGCTGGTGGAAATACAAACTATATCCAGTCCTGTGCAAATT